TGTACTTTGTTCCAGCAGCCTTGGAAGATGATATTCTGGGCTTCGTATTACCCACCCACCCAAGGAGTTGGTACCTCTGTGATGCATACATGCGTCTGTAGTGCATAAGAGTGCACACACACACACACACACACACACACACACACACACATCAACACTTCTCCAGCAGCTCTAGCCTCGTTTCTGAGAAATGATCGATAAAACCTCAGGCCCTTCTAGCTCCCCTGGAGACGCATTGCATTTCTCTGCCGTGGAAGAAAGCTGCAGCTTGTGTTTGCAGCCACAGCTCTGTTTTCACCTCCTCTCTCTCTGTTTGTATAGAGGAATCTGGGACTGTCTTTGCTGTGGGCACAGGGCATATGCAGATATGTTATTACTGGGTTTGTGGAGGCCAGTGGCTGTGTATTCTTGGACTCAGTTCAGGTGCTAAGATCATTTTATAATGCCTCTCTGGTAGAACTCGTCCCCTTGTACTCCTAAATGAGGTGTTGTAAACATTGGAGTTGGGGACCAGGTCAGATACAAGAGGCGGCCATTCTAAAAGGTAGGGGACTAGGTTATCAAGTCTGGATTTTTGTGCCCTCCTTCTTTTTAAGCCTGGGATTCTAAGCAAGTTACTCCCCGCTTTACCTCAGGTTCCCATGGATACAATGGTCACATCTTGTGGTCTTTATAGATGGACCCATGAGCAGCGCCGTGGGTACTTTGGACCTGATAGGGAGGGCTGAGGGAAAAGCAAGCCCTGGCTCTCGTCCAGGAACAACACCCAATGGCTTCCAAGCATTTGTTTTAGGATAATAACAGCAATAAAATTAAAACTATGATTTCTTGTTAAAATACCTCCTTCTCAAAGACAAAGTCAGAGTCTGTGGTCCCAGTTTTCTGATTTGGCTATCCACCAGCATCCCAATGGGAGGTTCCCCATCTCGGAGCATATTTCTTCCTTTTCTGGATAGTACAAGTACCAATCCGGACTCTTCAGTACTGCTGTGAATTCAGATGAGAATGGGACATATAAGCTCACATGGAGATGTTATGGCTAGGACCTGAAAAGAATCCAGTCCTCAAATGGCTGCTGCTCAACTCAAGCCTTCGGTGTTTTCCTCTCTTCCTTCTCTCTTTCCCCATCAGCAGGGCCTCTAATGGCTTTGGCATCTCTGCAGTCCATTTCCTGGAGAGTGTAAATTATTTATTAGATGGCCACATCTGCCTGCAGGCTGGGGCGCCGTCAGTGCCTGCTGTGGGAGGAGGTGGGGCTGGCAGACCTGGCCCCTGCCTGGCTCCCATCTCCCTTGAGGTCTCTTTTAGCCCCCAGGCTTCTGGGATGAGCACTTCATGCCACCTGCCTGTCACACTCTGGGCCGTTCCTGGGACGTTCCCATCCAGCCTGAACTGCTAGCTCTCAACCAGTGGGTTTCTCCTTTGGGGGCAAACTTGGCCTCTTACTAGCCATGAATAATCTACGAGCTCTTAGAGATGGTTCTGGGGAGACACATGCCCCCCATTAGTGACCCTGCTATCCCTCCAAGGTGCATCCTTTCCACGTTGCACTTCTACCAACACAGAGATTCTGGGATGGGCATGGTGAGTCCTGGTTTCCCAGATGATGACAGAGCAACGAGGGGGAGCTCCTGAGAGCCATTAGCTTCTACCCAGGAGGACGTACACGGAGCCACGCTGCCTGCCACCTGTGGTCAGTGCAGGGGACTGTGTGGATGTGTCTGCTTCTTAGATAGTCCCACTGGGTCCCCTGGTTCTTGCTAGTGCTCCCTCACACTGGCCTGAGCCCAGTCAGTGAATTCAGGCTTCTCTGTACCTCTACATCCTATTTGGTGCCCGTCTGTTCATCTGCCTGCAGCATTTGCCTGCCCAGGGTGTTCCCAATTATAGCTGGCAACCTCCAGGCCTCAGCATTTGCCTTGAGGAGCCTCCAAGGAGAGTTTATGTTCTGATCCCCTGTACCCTCCTTTTCCTGACATACATGGTGCTTACAGCTTTATTGTTAGTTGTCGCTCTGAGGACAGCCCTGACTATGTCGTTCACCGCTGTACCCCCTTGCTTAGCTTGACTAGCCCTGTGCTTAGTTTGACATGACATTAACCTTAAGGGAGTCCTATAGCTTTCCATCCACTACTCGAGGTGGGAGGGGAGTCAGATCCACATATTACAGTAAAGCCAGGTTATTCTTTTTGGGGAGGGTTTCCATTTATTCCGCAATGATGTCTAGGCAGCTCTCTCTCTCTCTCTCTCTCTCTCTCTCTCTCTCTCTCTCTCTCTCTCCTCTCTCTTTCTCCCTCTTTCTTTCTTCTTTCTTTCTTTCTTTCTTTCTTTCTTTCTTTCTTTCTTTCTTTCTTTCTCTCTCTCTCTCTCCCTCCCTCCCTCCCTCCTTCCCTCCCTTCCTTCCTTTTTTCCCCCCTTTTTTCTGACTCCTAAGGTTGGGCTTGTGGATAATTCTTTCTATGCATGATTGTACTCAAATACAGTAGTGCTTGCTTAATGAAGGAGCGATCCCTTAATACATTTATTGTTACATGATTCTTGCAAAAACATCATAGAATGCATTACACAAGCTTAAATGGGCACCGTGTCAATGGGAAAAGTGTTCATAAGATCCCTGTCCTCCAGGCAGTGTTTCACTGACTGGAACGTCATTGTGTGGATCCTGGCTACTGGAGTTAGCAGAAAGGTTTTTATCTGGTCACCTCCCTGAACTGCTGAGTGGTTCTAGAATTTTGATTTTTTTCTGAAAGAACGTTTCCCACACAACCTTTTCTGTTCGAGGCAGGATTCAAAACCCTGTGTCAAAGGACCAAGGAAACATTTTATGTCTATTTATAGGTTACCAAAGATTTATGGAATTGGAAGTAAGAATTTAGGCCATCCCTGGTCAGAAGTAGATAGGCAGGAATGTATCAAGCATGGCGTTTGACACTTTATTTCTTGGATTATGTATCATAAGGTCCTGCGCACTAACTGCTTTTAGTTTCCATTCAGAGTGAGGCCCAGCACGGTCCTTCAGCTCGCACCGGTCTACACAGTTTTATTAGGTAGTGTGGGCAGTAATGACATTTTAGCCACTGACGAGATGAGCATTTGGATCCTCTAGATGCTCTTAGCCACAGGTTGTCATGGTGAGCAGAGCCTGTATCCCTGTGGACACTCAAGAGGGGGTGGGAAACAATGCTAAGACAGAAAAAGAGACACACTTCGGATGGCATGGTTGAGAGGGTGGTAGATTCGGAGGATGCCTGGGAGTGAGTGCGTGAGTGTGCATGTGTGTGCGTTTGTGTGCGTGTGTGTGCTCGTGTGCACATGTGTGTTGGGAACGCAAAATTTGGAGCAGGAGTGAGGGTAGAATGGAGGCATGAGGAAGGTTCCAAGTTGTCTATTCCTTCTGACAACTCTCCCCTCCTTGAACCTTCCAGGAAAAGCTAGTGCTCTGGGAGTCAATGTCCGTCAGAATCTTCACACTTTCTCTTCAAGGCATTTCATACCAACCCTCTTCTTTACTTCACTGAACAGTGGTTACTGTCATCAATGTTTCACTAAGAAAGCTGTAGAATCCTAGGCAAGCTGGGCTGGCCAGGAACACGTCCAGCAGCTAGGAGATCTACACCCCTGCTTCTCTCCTTCCATTCAAGGCCAACACTCCTGGCCCATCTAAGCCGGAGATCTTGGCATCCTTTCATTTCTAGCTGGCAGTAAACCCTCTGGTCCCCAGTGGTGGGCTCCTTCACTCTGTAAGCTGTGGCTGATGAAGGAACGTGGGTTCCTAGCAGCCAGAGGTCTGCTTAGTCTGACAAAGGAAGCGTCAGTTCCCTTTTGGTCACAATGAGCCTGAAGGACCTGGTTTTGCTGCCTGGTCGCTAGACAGTAGCTATCTGGTAATGTCTCTTTTGCTGCCTGCATCACCCAAGGGCAAAGCATTGGCCAGACACAGTGAGAATGTCACTTGTCCTTAATGAATCAGGTAAATATCAGTTTTACCGGATTGGAAGGACATGTTGGTTTTTTTTTTTTAAAAACCTTCCTTCCTTCCTCCCTTCCTCCTTATCGCTCTCTCTTTTCTTTCTTCCCTTGTTAGATCTCACAAGGAGAAATTTCTAAATGTGATTGACAACACTTTTTTCCTCCTTTAGTTTCTTTATTCTGTTCATGAATTACTAAGGAGACTTACACAAATCAGATAATAAAAGAAGGGTCACGGAGGTTTGGAAACAGGTTGGCCGATGACAAGAGCATGTACCCCAAATGTGGCCTCTGGGCAAGGATGCTCCTTTCCCAGATTTTGATTTGTGGTAAAGAAGGAACTAGCAGACACTGGCAAGTGCTTTGGAATTTTATTTAGCCCTTATAGCCAGCAGGCACAGGAGACACTGGCTTCTTCATACCAGTGGCAAACTGAGCCCAGAGTCCTCAGGAAAAGTGAATAAGTGGCTGGGGGAGTATGGTGTCTTTGTAACTGTGCAGCCAGGTTCTCTTGGCTCCACACTCTCTGGTAACTGCTTTGTTTTATAAGTCCCCACAAGGACAGTTTTGTCGCTGAAATATCTTCCTTCCTTGGGTCAGAAATCCATCAGCTCTTTGTGATCATTTTGCCTGGTTGAGTTTCATCCCATCCTAACCTCCCCAATATCTGCCTCTGAGGTTTCTCTCAAGCCCCAGTGTGACCCTACCTGGCAAGCTCCGAATGAATCTGTTGCTGGCTCCCAATTGGCCAGGAACATATCTTGTAATAGTGGCACCCAGCCTTAAAATCCCGTTTGCTTTTCTGCCTTGAAAATCACACATAACACTTGCAGGATGAATGATCTTTATAAATAAGATTTCACATGTGCTCACCCCAGCAGCCTATCCTGTTTGTTTTCTAGCTAAGTCCAGAAATCTTTTAGTATGTTTTTGCCTTGGGTCATTTCTTCATGAGACTTTTTGTACTTGCAATGCATTTTTTCTCATATTTGCATTTTTATATTGTGTTTCCTTCAAAATCCTTTTGAAAGGACACCTCGTTCAAGGAGCACCCCCGGATCTCTATGCTGTGGAGAACTCACGCTCTCACCCTTTGATTAGCATAGTGTCTCAGAACGCCAGACTCTGAAGGCGAGGACGAGTGGCCCCCACCAGACTTCGTTAAGAAACACCAAACAAAAATTTCAGGTGACATGGATCAATAACCAGTGATGGATACTCTCTGCACTTGTGTTGAATGCTCATCTTTCATCCGAGGCTGTGAAATACAGTGGAGGAAAGAGGCCGAATCCTGAGGGCAGCAATGCAGCTGGGATGTTTCAACCTGGGCGAGTCCTTGAAAAATGCTGGGAAATGTTAGTTTTGAAGAAAGAAAGAACGAGTACTAGACAGGGAGCTGGAGAGATTGCTCGGCCGTTAAGAGCGCTGGCTGCTCTTTCAAAGGACCCTGCAGTACCCACATGGCAGGTCACAACTGTCTGGACCTCCCAGTCCCAGCGGGTCTAGCAACCTCACACAGACACACATGCGGGCAAAACACTAACACATACAAAATAAAAATAAATAAGTCATTTAAATTTTTTTTTTAAAAAAGCAGAAGGCCCTTGATGGAGTTCATAATTTGATTATTTCCCTGTTGCCGTTAATCTTGCCCTACCCAAGGTGTGGATGGCAGCCCGACTTTCAGAATTGTGTGGTCTGAGTGAGAACGGACCCCATAGGCTCACTTATTTGAATGCTTGGTCCCTTGTTTGTGGGACAGTTTTGAAAGGGTTAGGAGGTGTGGCCTTGTTTGCGGAGGCGTGTCACTGGGGGTGGGCTTTGAGGTTTCAGAGCCCCATGGTGTCCCCAGTTAGCTTTCCCTCTGCCTCTTGCCCAGGGATCAGCGTTAGCTCTCAGCTACTGCTCCAGGGCTATGCCTGCCCGCTGCCGTGCTCCCCACCATGATGGTCCTGGATTCACCCCAAAGTAATTTGAGGGAGGATTGCGAGACTATAAGCAAGCCCCCTATCGGATGCTTTACAATTCGCCTTGGTCATGGCGTTTCTTTACAGCCATAATAATAAAAAGTAACGAAGACAAGAATGATGCCCCTTCTTACAGTTCATTTTCTCCACTGGCATTCTTCGACAGCTGTGGGAGCACTGTAATGCTTTTGAAACAGATGGGTCACAAACTTTCGTGTCTGTTCCAACCCAGCCTCCTCCAACATGGCATTTATGGACCCAGAGAAATTGAGAAAATGTGGCCAGGCCCAGCAGCCGCCGCGATGCCTCTGGCTGTGTGTGCATAGTTTATTATCCGCCCCACCCATGGGCAGCCTGCTTTTCCTGGTAAGAAACTGGAAGCTCTGCCTTCAGTGTTCACTTGACCCATCCCCTAGGGAGAGCATGTTCCTAACAAATAAATTCCCTACATAAGTAATTTGAGGGAGGATTGGCTTATTCTGTTTCACTCGTGTGAAAGGCAGGGAGAGCATGGCTAACGTTTGGGCAAGCCTGGACACACAGAAATTGGGCAGTAGGGAGTGGACATGGCTCTAGCCCTATGGCCCTACATCTGCCAGCTAAGCTCTGTGTTCAAAAGGTCCCGTCACCTCCCAAAACAGTGCCACCAGTTGGGGACCAACTATTTATATACCCAACAGTGGGTGTCTTGAACATGGCCACTCAACTGGTGCCGTCAGTATTAGCAAGAGCAACAGATATTAGGAAGGTGCTCCACTCTGGTATGGAAGGGTGGATATTTAACAAGATGGACATTTTGGCAAGACTTGGAAAGGGATGAGGCCAGTGAAGGGCCAAACAATGGATGACTCCATCTTGACAGTGACTCCATTTAAATTTTCTACCCAAGTGCCTCTTGGGCCTCACCCCAGTCATTAGATCTCAATACCCACTAGTGATGGGAGCTGTGGCAGCCAACCCTGGAGACCTGAGTAACCTTGACCTTACAGATAGGGCATTTGTGTTGCACTACAGGAAAGGGTAGGAGGACTTGAGAGACAAGAGTTCGGGCCCATGTTAGATCATTGGGTGATCCTGGAACAAACACAGTTTGTTTGTTAGATTCTGGTCTTAGTCAGTGGGAATTGGCTCGTCATTCTTCTTGATGCTGTACTGGTACCAGCTTTTTGATTTGAAGTGTGAAATGGGGCGGTTAATAAGACATGAGCAGAACAAAGTGCCACGTGACCTCTAAGCCTGGTATTCACACCTCTACCCTATACTGCCATGGAAAGTAGTGTTTGGGACAGTCCCCTCTGTACGGGTAACTGTGCTTGAGCTGTGCTCCAGGGAGCAGCATTTAGTGTATTTGTTAGCACCATTTCATGAGGATAGAACACCAAAGAGGAAGGGAAGTGGAAAGTTGGATCCGAGGGCCTTTGGTCTCTTCAGCTTTTACTTTGGCATTCTAAACACTTAATTTATTTTTCCTGTACTCAATGTCTGAAAATCATTGTCCTAAGAGATACTTTCCATAATTACCTTTGAGAATGCATGTCCCAACTTCATTTCCAATGCTGTGATAAAAAATCCTGGCAAAAAAAAAAAAAAAAAACCATCTTAGGCGAGAAGAAGGTTACTCGGCGTGGAATTCTAGGTTAAAGTCCATCGTTGTAGGGACGTCTAGGCCAGGACTTGAAGCAGCTAATTCCATCGCATTCACCGTCAAGAGCAGAGAGAAGTGAAGGTGTGCATGTCTTTTTTGTTTGTTCATTTGTTAAGCACCCTTTCTACACTCACACAGTCAAGGATCCTCTGCCTACAGCATGGTATCCCCCATAGCGGGCTGGGCTGTTCTACACCAATTCATACAATCAAAACACAAAACAGCCCCCCAGAGACAAGTGCTGGCCCACCTGACCTCTATGATTCCTGAGTGAGACACCGTTCCCAAATGACTCTAGACTGTGTCAAGCCTACAGGTAAGTCTAGTCAACACGAGCTCTTTACATTAACTGTTTTCCCTGTGCCCACCTCCTCTTTCTTGTTCTAATCTATATGGGGTGAATGGCTACTTCTTTCATCCATTAGAGAACTAAGAACGGACCTTACTCACACATCTGAGATGACACTGGGGACATACACACGTGCAGATTGTATGGAGGGTACCTGGGGCCTAAGATCCGTTTAATCGCTACTGCTAAAGCTTCCCACCTGCTGGCTGCTGTCTCAGTACCTACGCAGGGTTCTCAGCTCAGAGTGGGGCCTGAAAGCATGGATAAGCCGTCTTCTCCTCTTTGTCTTCACAGCCCCGTTGTCTGTTAGTGTGAGGTCTGCTTCTTTCTGGGATGGATGACTTTGGATGCCTGCCCACCCCTTTCAGGAAAGGCCCCTTCTGTCTAGTGGGATATAATCTTGGAGACCCCTATAGGGCAAACCTTCAAATATTACCTAGCAAATAGAATGCCCACTTCCCAGGCTCACTCATCCCCACAGGAGGGTCTCTCTCTTTCTCTTAGTTAATGATCACAGGGTGACCATAAATTCCAGCTTGCCTGGGACAGTCCTATTTTATGCCTGTTGCCCTGGTGTAATTATTAATAGCTTCCCTTTCACCCACAAAGTGTCCTATTTAGGGTGATAAATTATATGGTCCCCTTAATTGTCCTGATTAAGATCAGTGTGCTTTCTCAGCTTCAGTGACCACTGATGCTTACCTCCTGCCACGCTACCTTGAGCTGATCCTCCAGACAACTGACCACCCATGTGCCTAGGAGTCTCCTCTCTGCTCTTCCATGTGTATTTCCAGTCCTCCCCGCCACCATTCAATGAGGATTCCATGCCCACCTACAACATACCAGGGCATTCCCAAGGCACTAGGCAGCAGGAGTAGTAGAAGGAAGACAGACTATAAACACATAAACATATAACCATTCTGCTCCCGAAAGACCGAGGTGTGAAAAATGCACACTGACCTCATTTATCCCCTCCCCTCAGTGGATTCCCGAAGCCATGGGCAGGACTGATCCCTGTGCCCATGTGCTGTTTCTCAGACACACACACACCTATGACCGAAACAATAGCCTTGTGTGTGCTGGACAAGCATTCTACCGCGGATCTCTGTGTATAGCTCGTTTTGCTTTATGAGATAATGTCTCACTAAGTTGTCCAGGCAGGCCTGTGCTCAGTATGTAGCACAAGCCAGCCTTCAACTTGTGGTCTTCCTGCTTCAGTCACACAAATAGCTGGAATTCCAGTTATGTTGTGCCCACCAGGCCCAAGTATACTTAATGTATTTTAATGGGGAATTTGGTGTGGTGGGTGGTACACCTTTACTCTTAGCACTTAAGAGGCAGGTGGATCAATTTCTATGAGTTCTAGGCCAGTCAAAGCTATATAGTGAGACCCATATATATTATATATAATTTATATATAATATATAATATATATTTTATTTAATTCCCGTTAAAAGCATGTATTAAGTTAAAGTGTATATAAATGTTCGTTAATAGTAAAGACAAAGACAGTAGGGCCATGATGGGTAGGGCTGGGAGAGGTGAGCAAGTGTGAGTCTTATCTACAGGGTTAGCAGGGCAGTTTGTCTACTATGATGCTCTCTAAACCAAGTCAGATGCAGTGTGTTAATGACTTTGGTGGGGAGAAGGCTTTTCAGAGAAAGGGGCAGGTGCCTAAGTTCCAAGAAATAAAGAGGAAGACTATTGAATGGCTGGTGTCAATGCCAGTCAATGGTTCAGAGTACACTGGGATTGCATGACCCAAGGTCTTGTCTTCCCTGCGGTTGCCTGGCATTAATGCCATGTCTTGATGGCCTTGAGGGACAGTGATTGGTTCATTTCCTTATCTGTTCTCTTGGTAATAGTGGGTCAGAATCAAAGCTTTCCAGGACAACCAGGTCTAGCTAGAGCAATGTGGTCATGCTGCAGACCTGTTATAGGCATATAGAGGTTCCCATGGCACCTGAGGGCTAAGCCACACCCCCTGACATGCATTGACGGTGTCAGCTTCCAGAAAGTCCATGGTACCTCTACAGATGAGTCTGCTCTATAGACCTTGGTTGAGACTCATCCCAAGGGCTTGGGATCCTTACTTGATACTGGTTCTGTATAATTTTGGGAGGCCATTACCGGGAAGAGAACCCAGGATAAGAAGAGAGAAACTCCCCTGTTTAATAGACGTTCCTTGGTGTTGCTCTAGCCATTAAATGTGTTAATATTTTATTATTGGTTTTAAGTATATATACTAATAACTGTTCTCTGGACAATACAGATTGTGCTATTGATCACATTTCTCTTTTTCCCTGGCTGCCAGGAACTCCTCTTCAGTCCCATGAATCATCCATAGGACTGTGGGCACAAACCTCCAGTCTGAATTTCTCTAGATTAACTCACCCTGGACTTTTATTTATAATGCCGCTCTTACTTTTTGTCTGTTTTACATTTTTTTTCCTTTTTAAATCTTACCCAATTTGAAAGTTTTAAGGGGTCTAGGTCTTAAACAGATCCCTTGAGAAATGGCACTTCTAGATTTGGTCCTTTGCAAGTGAGTTTTGGGCACCTACTATGTGAAAGGAAGCCTTAGGCCCAGCAGGAGGGACCAGAAAACATCCCTGCCCCCCAGCTTAAGTCCCTATTCTGTCCCTCAGTTTCTCATGGGTCAGATCTCAATGAACACCAGCATTCTATAGAATGAGGAAACTGACCCCCAAATTCCAGCCCTGGAAGGGATTAGCCATTTGCATAATTTACTTTGTTAATAATGGTGCCTGGCCTAGTACCTGCAGGGAGGAAATCGAGTTTTAAAAAAAGAAGATGGTGGGGTCGACATTACTTCAGCCTGTCTGTGTCGATGTCTTTGTGTGGTAGGGAACTGAGAGCCTTGGTGTGAGGGTTCAAATGTCTCTCTAAGCGACCGCCCCCTCCCAACACT